TTATTGCAAAAGGTGTTGCTATAGCGAGGCCATTATTGGGAGCATTCAGTTTAATATAATTATGCTGCCCTTGTATAATTGGGGGTTGGGGAGGATAAGAATTTATGTTTGCACTTGCTCATTTCTACCGAGAAACAATTGAAGGATACACAAGAAACCATTTAAAATGGTGGGCTGTGTAGGGATATGGGCAAGAAATGTTTCTTATTGATTTTTCAACCCTTTAAATGTATGCTTTATTATATATATATTTAAATCATCTGCCTTTGGCCTCTGCCTATAAAGATAATTCTATTTAAAACTTTCCAATTGTTTTTTAGTGAGCAGTCTAATTTGTTTTAAAGAAATGTGGTTTTCCTTGATCAGGATTCTGTAATATGCATCTGAAAGACCTGTATTCAGCTCATTTTTCTCAGTAATTATAATCAGCAGCACTTGACTGTATCTTCTATCCAAAACTCAGCATTGATAAACATTTTCATGGCCAAATTAAATTATTAATTTGTATAGATTCTTAATTTGATTCAAGTAGACTTTTTTTAATCTGACCCTCCCCCCCCCACATAATTTGCATTTTTAGTCTCATATTTATATCTCTTTTTATTCTTAGTCATCCTCAAAGTAATTTTTTAAAACTTTAAAAGAAAAAGTTTATTGTAATGATGTGTAAATGCTTTCATTTGTGGGCAGTTTATCACATAGGATTCTTCTCATATAGCACTTGTCTAGGATGTTTTTATGTTCATCATTACTTTCTGTTAGAGCTACAGAATACTTCTACTCTTTTTCTTTCAAATATGTTTTTATTGATTTTTAGAGAGAGAGCGAGAGAGTGATAGAAACATCAATGAGAGAGAAACATCTGTTGGCTGCCTCCTGCACACCCACTACTACTGGGGGGTCAACCTGAAACCTGGTCATGTGTCCTGACCAGGAATCAAACGGGCGACCTCTCGGTGCATGGGTTGATGCTCAACCACTGAGCTACACCAGTTGGGCTTTACTCTTTAGTTTTATGTCTGAGTCTTCAAATTTCTTTTTTTATTGAATTCATTGGGGTGACATTGGTTCAAAAAATTATAGGTTTCAGGTGTGCAATTCTATAATGGGTTGTGGGATCGAGCCCTGTCCAGGAATCGAACTGCGACCTCTCAGTCCATGCGATGATGCTCCCATCCGCTGAGCCACACCAGCTGGGCTGATCTTTGTGTTTTCTAATCATAATTACTGTGTATTTCATGCCTTCCTTATACTTAACACTAATCTAAGCATTATCTCTAATCCTTAAATCTTTCCTGCCAGGTAGGTCTTATTATCTCTCATTTTACATATGTTGAAAATAAGGACCAAAAAGATGAAATGATTTGATAAAAATTCATGTAGGCAGTTAGTAACAGAATGAGGATTCACACCAAATCTCAGTCTCTGTAGTCATGCTTTTTCTACTAGACAATGTTATTTCTTGAAACATGAGGAGTAACACTAGTGTTGCAGGTTTGTAAGTAGTGTCCTGAATAAGAGATGGGTAGTTTTAATCTGTTAACACTACTCTGGGGGCTAAGTTTTGCCCAGTATCTTTTACTTGGTCTGTTATTCAGTGTTCCACAGTTGGGCTGCACTGAGTTTTTCGTTCTGCCAAGTGCTGAATGTTAAAACACATCTCACTGCTAAGCCCTCCTCAGGCCTTTGGCGCCCTTGCTGTAAAGGCAGGTGGTCTGAAGAAAGGCTCCCTCTAGGTTTTTGCACACCATACACAACACATAATAGTGCGAGACAACTGTCAGTTCCTTCCTTCCCTTCTCTCCACTGCGCCTCCCCCCGCCACCCCCCTCCCCCATCTTCCAGAAAGCTGGGCCCCAGATGGAAGCGCTGGAAACGTGTCAACTATTCTCTGAAGGGCATTGAGAAAATACTGTCAAGAAGAAAAAGGCAAGCGCAACAGCTCATTAGTCCACTAATCAGACAGGATGACCATCAATTTACAAAGAAAATGTCCTGGACAGAGAGGGGGAAGGCTAGCAGAATGTTGCCCACATGGCTCTTGGAGAGCTGCACATTTTTGTCAGGGAATTTGCAGTTTAGGGGCATTGCTCCCCTGATTGACTTTCTATATATATTATATTTCTTCCTCAAAATGTGGCAAACTGAAGCATTAAAAATAATATTTGGGACCCTGGCCAGTTTGGCTCCATGGTTAGAGCATTGGCCTATGGACCAAAGAGTTTCAGGTTTGATTCCTGGTCAAGGGCATATAACTTGGTTTCAGGTTCCATCCCTGACCCTGACGGGGTCGTCAGGAGGCAACCAGTTGATGTGACCCTCTCACGTCAGTGTTTTTCTCTCTCTCTCTCTCTCTCTCTCTCTCTCTCTCCTTCTTCCCTCCCTCCCTCCCACTCTATATAAAAAAATAAATCAATGGAAAAACATCCTCTAGTGAGGATTATATATAATATATGGGGATATTTTCCTCATTAGACCAATTTCATGGATGTGAGAAGATGTGCCATTTGCCAGTGTCATGAATATTCTTGTATGTATTGTGTTTATAAGTAACTGTGATCCCATAGAAAGAAATCTTTGATTTAACATTCTAATTTGAACCTTTGGTGTCCATTTCTTGTACTTTACATTGAATTTATTGGAAAATAAATGCATGGTACTTATGTGTAAAGCTTAGAATTACTGAGAGGCAAGTAGCTCAATTTAAAAGTGATTTTGGCCCTGGCCAGTTTGGCTCAGCGGTTAGAGCGTCGACCTGCGGTCCTGAGAGACCCGGGTTCGGTTTCCGCTAAGGGCGCGTACCTCGGCTGCAGTTTGTCCCCGGCCCTGGTTGGTCATGCGGGTGGCAGCCACATGATGTGTTTCTTTCACATCGATGTTTCTCTCTCTTCTGTCTGTTCCTCTCTCTCCCTCCCACTCTACCTGAACAAAAAAATGGGAAAATGTCCTCGGGTGAGGATAAAAATAAATAAATAAATAAAAATAAAAGTGATTTTGGTAGCCCTGGCCAGTTTGGCTCAGTAGTGAGAGTGTCAGCCAGCAGACCAATGAGTTGTGGGTTCGATTCCAGTCAAGGGCAGGTACCTCGGTTGTGGTTCCCACCCTGGCCCTGGTCCAGGTTGTGCGGGAGGCACCAATTGATGTGTCTCTCTCACATCAGTGTTTCTCTTTCTCTCTCTCCCTCTCACGCTGTCTGATGATAAAGAGAAAATTATCCTCAGATGAGGATTAAAAATAATAATAATAACAATAATAATAATAAATAAAATAAAGGTGAATATGGTGCCCCTGGCCCTATTATTAACCAAGTATATAACAAGTTCCCTTTAATGGAGTCAAATAACTTTGAAGATAATAGAATATTACTCCTCTGTATCAAGTCTTATTTATATTAGCTCAGACCTAATTCTTACATCAAGTGTGATCTGTCAAATTTCTCTTTCTGGAATTTGTTGCTATCTAGTGTTATCCAACACTGCTTATGAATTATCCCCATAGGTGAAGTACCTGTGCTTAGTTTAGAATCATCTCTACTTTTCATCCTTTTGAACAAATGTTATAAGTGACATTTATATACCTGATGTTAAAGATGTTGAACTCACCCCTTTTTTTCCTTAGAGCAGTTGATATGTATAAAAATTTAGTACTTCATCATTCATAGTAATTTATATATGACTGATTATATTTGTTTCTATGCTTTGCACTTGACACCTACTGATCAAGATAGTTCCACATTAGCTTTTAACCCCCTACTCATTTCATTCATTTATAAATAGAAGTTAAGAAAGAATGTGGTTGCAATAAGCAGAATTTCTAACCTGGTTTCTTTCTTTCTCAGCCACTATCCTCACTGTTAACTTTCTGGTCTCGTCAATACTTGACCTTGCTGCCTTGTTAGTTTTCTAGGATTGCTGTAACAAAGTTCTACAAACTGGGTGGCTTAAAACAATAATGTTCTCCCTGGCTGGTTTGGCTTAGTGGTTAGAGCATTGGCCCGCAGACCCAAACTGTTGGGTTTGATTCCCAGTTAAGGGCACGTACCTGGGTTGCAGGTTCTATCCCCAGTCCCCGTCAGGGTTGTGCAGGAGGCAACCAATCTATGTGGCACATTGATGTTTCTCTCTCCTCTCTCTTCCTCCTTCCCTCCCTTTCTTCCACTCTATCTAAAAACCAGTGGACAGCCCTGGCCAGTTTGGCTCAGCGGTTAGAGCGTCGGCCTGCGGTCCGGAGAGACCCGGGTTCGGTTCCCGCTACACGTACTTCGGTTGCAGTTTGTCCCCGGCCCTGGTTGGTTGTGCGGGTGGCAGCCACTCGATGTGTCCCTTCACGTCGATGTTTCTCCCTCTCTCTCCCTCCCATTCTATCTGTACAAAAAATGGAAAAATATCCTCGGTGAGGATTAAAAAAAAAAAAAAAAAAGTAAAAACCAGTGGACATATATCCTCGAGAGAGAATTAACAACAAAAAAAGACAACAGTCTTCTCTCACACTTTAGGGGGCCAGTGGTCCAAAATCAAGGTTTCAGCAGGGCCGATTCCTTCTTGGGGCCTCAGAGGAAGAATTTATTTCATACCTCTCTTCCTAGCTTCCAGTGCTTGATGATGATTCTTGCCATTCCTTGGCTTGTAGATACATCATTCCAATCTCTGCCTCCATCATCACACTGCTTCCTTTCTGTGTGACTGTGTCTGTCTTCACATAATTTATCCTTTGTGTATATGTCTCTTTAACTTTAAAGCCCCCCAGATAATCCAGGATGTGTTCCTCCTCTTAAGATCCTTAACTACTACATTTTCAAAGAGGTTTTCCAAATAAGGAAACATTTACAGTTCAAGGAATTAAGAGGTAGATGATATCTTTCTGGGGGCTACTATTCAGCCTATTAATCTAAACATTTTCTTCTCATTCCTCTAGGAAAATATGTTAGTGTTTCAAATGATTGTCGCTATTTTTATTATTTTATAGGAAAATCTGACCTCCATTTCTTTTATTCTCCACAGTTGGTCCTGAGAAAAGGGTACCAGCAATGCCTGGATCGCCTGTGGAAGTAAAGATACAGTCAAGATCCTCACCTCCCACCATGCCACCCCTCCCACCAATAAATCCTGGAGGACCCAGGCCAGTGTCATTTACTCCTACAGCATGTGAGACCTTTTAATTACTTGGGTTTGTGGTTGAGAGTGACATTTGTATCTAGGTGGCTGGCTGCCATTAAGCCTCCTGCATATACTATTCACAAGATTTTGAAAATGGGTATTAAAAGATATATATGTGTATATATACATATATATATATATATCACAACTGTATATCTGGTTATTTCTCTTATAAATTGCTTTTGCTCTCTGAAAATAGTACTTAGTTAATTTGGGCATTTGGAAATTTACTTTTTATTTATTTATTTTTTTTTTTAATTTTTTTTTATTTTTTGTTTGTTTTCATCCTTACCCGAGGACATTTTTCCAGTTTTTGTTCAGATGGAGTGGGAGGGAGAGAGAGAGAGAAACATTGACGTGAAAGGGACACATCGAGTGGCTGCCTCCCACACGACCCAAGCAGGGCCAGGGACAAACTACAACTGAGGAACGTGCCCTTTAGCGGAACCGAACCCGGGTCTCTCTGGACCTCAGACCGACACTCTAACTGCTCAGCCAAACTGGCCAGGGCCACATTTGGAAATTTAGTAGTCCCAGTATTTTTTTCATATTCTATGGTAAGTAACTATTTTAATTTCTTTGGCTCTAAACTACTGAATTAAAATTATCATATTGATTTATAGGAATTAAAGTAAGGTTTTTTTTGTTTTTTGCTTTCTTTTTTTTCCCCTCATTCGGGACATTTTTGCATCTTCAGATAGATCAAGCGGGAGAGAGGAAGGAAGAGAGAGAGAGAGAAACATCGATGTGAGAGAGACACATTGAGTGGCTCCCACCCACACGAAACCAACCGGGGCTGAGGACAAACTACAATAGAGGTACATGCCCTTAGTGGGAACCAAACCCAGGACTCTCTGGTCCATGGGCCAATGCTCTAACTGCTGAGCCAAACTGGCCAGGGCAAAAGTAAGTTTCATAAAGTTATCGAATTATTTCTAAACGTTTTCCAGGACTGTCACGGTAAGTCATTTCACACACAAAAAAAGAGAGTAATTATTGTATTAGTTTGCTATGGCTGCCATAACAAAATACCATAAACAACAGAAATTTATTTTTTTTAAGTTCTAGAGGATAGCCTTTACTGGTTTGACTTTTACTCCATATTCAGTGTTGAATAAGAATAGCACTCCTGCCCTGGCCAGTTTGTCTCAGCAGTTAGAGCATCGGCCCACGGACCAGAGAGTCCTAGATTCAGTTCCCACTGGGGGCACGTACCTCGGTTGCAGTTTGTCCCTGGCCCCAGTTGGGGTTGTGTGGGTGGCGGCCAGTCGATGTGTCTCTTTCACATCGATGTTTCTTTCTCTCTCTCTCTTCCCCCCTCTCTCCTTCCTGCTCTATCTGAGGATAAATGCAAGTAATGTCCTCATGTGAGGATAAAAGAAAAAAAGAATAGCAGTCCTTGCCCAGCCAGTGTGACTCAGTGGTTGAGCATCAACCCATGCACCAAGAGGTTACCAGTTCGATTCCTGGTCAGGGCACATGCCAAGGTTGTGGGCCAAATCACCAGTAGGGGACATGCAGGAGGCAGCCAATCGATGTTCTTTCTCATCGATGTTTCTCTCTCTCTTTCCCTTCCTCTAAAATCAATAAAGAAAAAAAATTTTTTTTAAAAGAAGAATAGCAGTCCTCGAACTGAAAGGTTGTGGGTTCAATTCACGGTCAAGGGCACTTGCTTGGGTTGCAGGTTTGATTCCCAGCCACAGTCAGGGTTGTATGGGAGGCAACCAACCAATGTGTCTCTATCACATCAATGTTTCTCTTTCTCTCCTTCCCTTCCTCCCATTCTTTCTTTAAAATTCAATGGAAAAATATTCTCAGGTGAGGATTAAAAAAAAACAAGTTTTAGAGCATAGACATCCAAGGTCAAGGTATCAGCAGGTTTGATTTTTTTTTTTTTCCTGAGTCCTCTGTCCTTGGCTTGCAAAAGCCACCTCCTTGCTATATCCTCCCACATCCTTGCCTCTGTGTCAATCCATTCATGTTGTCCATTTCTTTTCTTATAAGGACAACAATCATAATGGGTTTGGGACTACCCACATAACCTCAAATATAGTCACATTCTGAGATACTGAGGGCTTTGAACTTCAGCATGGGACTTTATGGGGAACACAGTTCAGTTCATAAGAAATATATTAGCTAATAAATAAAGCGTTCAACTTGACTAGTCTTCAAGGAAATGCAAACTAAAACCCAGTGAAATACCATATACACCCACAAGAATGTTCAAAATGAAAAAAAATTACCAAGTTTTGGTGAGTGTGGAGCAATCTGAACAGTCATACATTGTTTAAGTATGAGAAAATTGTTTGGCAATATCTTCTAAAGCTGAATTTCTACAAATTCTATAACTCAGCAATGTTAGTCCTACATACATATTAAAACAAAAACAAAACTAAAAAATCCTCTATTTAAAACCTAAAACCTAGATACACACACATGTCTAGATTTTAATTTTGAGTTCTGCCTTTCCATGCCCATGCTACCTCCAGCTCATACTTTGCCTCATAAAGCAGAAGAAAATTGCTATTTGTATAGTGCACCCATAACATGTGAGAGCATTGTACTAGGTGCTGTATGCATTTTCTTATTTAATCATGTGCACACTATTTCTGCTCAAACATTTATGTTTCCTTTTTCTTTTTTTAATTTTAGCTCTTTTTATTTTTTAATTTTATTTTTGTTACAGATGTTTCTCCTTTTTTATCCCATTGATACCTCCTCCCCATTCCCCCCGCCCCATCCCTGGCTTTGTTGTCCATGTCCATTGGTTATGTGTACATGCATATAAGTTCTGTGGTTTATCTCTTCCCACCTCCCACCACCCCCTCTTCTGAGGGTTGTCAGTCTGTACCCTACTTCCGTGTTTCTGGGTCTACCCCATTCCTCAGACTGTTATATTCATTATATTCCATATATAAGTGAGATCATGTGGTATTTGTCTTTTTCTGCTTGGCTTGTTTCACTTAGGATAATACTTTCCAGGTCCCTCCATGTCATCTCAAAGGATAAGAGATCTTTCTTTCTTAAAGCTGCATAGTACTCCATTGTATATATGTACCACAGCTTCTTTATCCATTCATGTACTGATGGACATTTGGGCTGTTTCCAGATCTTAGCTATTGTATATAGTGCTGCTATGAACATGGGGGTACATGTATTCTTTCTGATTGGTGTTTCAGGCTTCTTAGGGTATATTCCTAGAAGCGGTATCACTGGGTTAAATGGAAGTTCAGTGTTTAATTTTTTGAGGTAACACTATATTGTTTTCCATAGTGGTTGCACCAGTCTGCATTCCCACCAGCAGTGCACTAGAGTCCCCTTTTCTCCACACCCTCGCCAACACTTGTTTGATGATTTGTTGATGGTGGCAACATGTATGTTTTCTGTGTTAATCATTATTATTATTATTTTTATCCTCACCCAAGGACATTGTTCCATTTTTTGTTCAGATAGACTGGGGGAGAGAGAGAGAGAGAGAGAAAGAGGGAAAGAAAACATCGACGTGAAAGGGACACATCGAGTGGCTGCCACCCACACAACCCAACCAGGGCTGGGGACAAACTGCAACCAAGGTACGTGCCCTTAGCGGGAACCTACCCTGGGTCTCTTTGGACTGCAGGTCGACACTCTAACCACTGAGCCAAACCGGCCAGGGCTGTGTTAATTATTTTTAAAGACAAGAGAAGACAGTCTAATATGTACAGCTGTAATAGAAGGTTTAATTTTTATTTTCCCAAACATTTGAAATTGAGTGAGTGGTTAACTGCAGCAGTCTGAGCCAGAGTGAAAGACATGCCTTTTGATGTCTTTTTTTCCCTTTGTTTTCTGTCTCAAAGTTATACATCCTTAGATATAAGTACTGTCTTGAAGTGAAACAGATTTAAACCCAGGCTATCATTCATATTTCAAAATACAGACAACTGGGATATGTATATATAAATTTGGACCTTTTTTCCTCAATATTTGACTACTTGAAAGTGGATATGTTTTATTTCAGAAAATGTAATCATATGCTTTCACTAAAGAGCTTGTTTTGTCATCAGGGTGGCTAAAAGCACAATAATGTATTATTTTAATGGGCTGCTTCAAAAGAGGGCAGCTCTCCAGTGGCAATTGACCTTTCTGTGAACACAAAGAAATTGCAGACCACTGCAACTAATTTTCTGGATTGCTGAGGCTGAGTGTTGAGCTTTCTTTTCAGTAGCTCTAGTGATCTTTTTAATGGAAGACACAAAAGAGGGAGCACCTTTTTATCCTTAACCTGTTAGTCTTTTAAGCAGTGAGTTAGTTATCTTCAGCAACATTTTCCTGAACACTTAATATTGCTAGCCAGTGAACAAAACTAATGTATATACAGTACACACTGTTTATAAAACTTAGCTAATTTTAGTATACACACACATGTAAGAGTGTTCATCAAGAAGTGTGTAATCTATTAAGGCATTGCAAATAAGTATAATTTGTTAATGGAAGCATATATAGCACAAAGAAGTATTACTACACTAAATTTCCTAGGATTTACCTTAAGGTGGATCAGCAAAGTCTCAAGGAATTCTTTTTAATACAGGTGTTATCTGAGCTATGTAGAATGAAGAGGAATTTACAGATCAAATTTGAATACAGGTCAGTCAAGAAGTAGGAATAGAGATGGTCAACTACAACTGCTTGCAGGAAGAAGGGAAGTGGAAGGGTTTTCATGATTAACGAGTTGTCATTAGGCAAAATATAAGTATATGGCAGTTTTCTAAGTTAGGTAAAAATTAAATGATTAGGTTTTTTAAATTTGGCTTAAGTCTTGCCTTAAGTTTTTTCTTATGTTTTTAGACACGGTTTTATCTTCTTAGATGATCAAGCCTGGGTATGAGTAAGTGAAAATCTATTGGCCCTTCGGCACTAGGTAATTTTTTACTGTTCGGTAAAAAAGGAGATTTTTTTACTTAACACTGCCTAGAATTTAGCCCTGGGATTATTCTCCAAATTAAAACTAGTGAAAAGTGACTAAGAACAATGTGAAAACAGAAAAGCTGCCCTGGCTGGATTGGCTCAGCAGTTAGAGTGTTGGCCTGTGGACCATAGAGTCTCAGATTTGATTCTGGTTAAGTGCATGTACCTTGGTTGCAGTTCTGTCCTCAGCCCTAGTCGGGGTTGTGCAATAGACAACCGATTGATATTTCTCCCTCTCTCTCTCTCTCCCTCCCTCCCTCCCTCACACAGTATCTGAAGATAAATGGAAAAAGATCCTTGAGTGAGGATTTTTTTTTTTTTTTTAAGTCCTCACCCGAGGACATTTTTTGATATTTTGTTCAGATAGAGTGGGAGGGAGAGAGAGAGAGAGAAACATCGATGTGAAAGGGACCCATCGAGTGGTTGCCACCCACACGACCCAACCAGGGCCGGGGACAAACTGCAACAGAGGTACGCACCCTTAGCGGGAACCGAACCCGGGTCTCTCCGGACCGCAGGTCGACGCTCTAACCGCTGAGCCAAACTGGCCAGGGCGGGTGAGGATTTTTTAAATAATAAAATAGAAAAACTGAAACTAAGCACATGTATTATTATTTAAGCAGAAATTTAGAATGGGAGTGTCCTGTGTAGTATCTAAAAAAAAATACTTTATTGAATGGCCAAGAATTTGGTAGTATTAATCTAGTACTGTCAAGACAGAAAAACCGACTCTGATAGGCATGAATATTTCGTATGATCAAAGAGATATATACCTTACTGCAGGAACATATCATTAAACCTATAGCCTAGAAAAAACATTTGTCATAGTAACACAACTGTTTTCTGGTGTGTTTTGTTCACATGCGACATTCTAATTGACTGCCTTAGCTTCTTTTTTTTCTTTCTTTCTTTTTTTCTTAATTTTTGTTATCCTCACCCGAGGACATTTTTTGTTCAGATAGAGAGGTAGGGAGAGAGAGGAAGAGAGAGAGAGAGAAACAACGATGTGAAAGGGACACATCGAGTGGCTGCCATCTGCACAACCCAACCAGAGCCGGGGATAAACTGCAACCGAGGTACGTGCTCTTAGCGGGAACCAAACCCGGGTCTCACTGGACCGCAGGTCGATGCTCTAACCGCTGAGCCAAATCGACCAGGGCTGCCTTAGCTTCTTTAGGACCCTAAGATTGGGAAGATGTGATGTAAAAGATGGGTATGAATGTCCATTCATTGGAAATAAGTATTCTCCCAAACTCATCTCATGCAATAACTAACTATTGCAGGAAGTCTTCAAACTACCTATACTTGCCCATGGCATCTGTGGAGTTAGATGTCCCTTCTTTCTGCTCTAGTAGTACTCTACTCTTCTGTTTTAACATTTCTGTGTTACTGTTACCTTTTTTTTAATCTTCACCCAACGATATTTTTGCATTGATCTTCAGAAAGAGTGGGAAGGGGTGGGGGGTTGGGGGGTAAAGAGAGAGAAACATCAATGCATGAGAGACACACTGACTGGCTGTCTCCCGCATGTGCCTAATGGAACCTGCGACTCTTTTGCCACTCCAACTGCTGAGCCAAACCAGCCAGGGTGCTGTTACCATTTTTTACCTGACAGACTGTCTCACTTATATAACAGTCTTGTTGGACAGAAACTGTCTCGTGTACTCTTAACATGTGCGTTACAAAATTGAAGTAAATAAATGAAGGAGAATGCAAACAAGAAGAATGTATCAAAGATCCTTCTGTTTTGCACTGAATCTTTCATTTTTGCTTTTAGTAAGCAATGGCACCAACCATTCTCCTCCTACCCTGAATGGTGCCCCATCACCACCTCAGAGATTCAGCAATGGTCCTGCCTCTTCCACATCATCTGCACTAACAAATCAACAATTGCCCGCCACTTGTGGTGCTCGACAGCTCAGCAAATTGAAACGCTTCCTCACCACTCTGCAACAGTTTGGCAATGACATCTCACCTGAAATTGGGGAGAAGGTTCGGACTCTTGTTCTTGCACTGGTGGTAAGTACAGCATCACTGTCAACAATTGCCTGAGTATATGGCTCAGAACTAAAGCCAGCAGAAAAGTTGTATATGTTTCTGCTCACTGCCAAACCTGTAGCAATGTGTCAAAATCTACAGACTAGACTAGTTATTAATATAACTTGTGTAAAACTGTTGATTTGTGGATTTCAATTATGTATAAAAATGTTTATCAAAGAAACAAATCAATAATGTTAACTAATATGTAGATTCTTATGCTGTAGATTTAAATCCATTAAGGAGCTTTGGTTTTTTTTGCTTTCAATTATGTTTTATTTTTATTAATTTATTTATTTAATTGTTGAAAGTATTACAGATGTCCCTCTTTTTTCCCCATTGACCCCCTGCTTCCTGCTCCCACCCTCTTCCTGCCTTTTCCAGTCTACTGTCCGTGTTGACTGGTTGTGCATGTATGCATGTAAGTTTTTTGTGTTATCTCTTCCCTCCCCTTCCACCCCCCATCCCTCTGAGGTTGGTCAGTCTGTTCCCTACTTCCATGATTCTGGATCTGTTTTGGTCAACAGCTTTCTTTGTTCATTATGTTCCACAAATAGGTGAGATCATGTGGTACTTGTCTTTCTCTGACGAGCTTATTTCACTTAGCATAATACTCTCCATGTCCTTACATGTTGTCTTAAAGGGTAAGAGATCTCTCTTTCTTACAGCTGCATCGTATTCCATTCTGTAAATCCACTCATCTATTGATGGGCATCTGGGCTGTTTCCAGATCTTAGCTATTGTAAATAGCGCTGCTATGAACATAGGAGTACATATATTCCTTCTGATTGGTGTTTCAGGCTTCTTAGGATATATTCCAAAAAGTGGGATCACTGGGTCAAATGGCAGTTTCATTTTTAATTTTTTGAGGAAACTCCATATTGTTTTCCACAGTGGCTGTACCAGTCTGCATTCCCACCAGCAGTGTGCTAGAGTCCCATTTTCTCCACACCCTTGCCAGCATTGGTTGTTTGAGGATTTGCTGATGACTGCCATTCTGGCAGGTGTGAGGTGATATCTCATATTTTAATTTGCATCTCTCTGATGGTTAGAAATGATGAGAATTTTTTCATGTCTCCTGGCCTTCTGTGTGTCCTGTATGGAGAAGTGTCTATTCAGGTCTTCCACCTATTTTTAATTGGATTATCTTCCTTTTGTTGAGTTGTGTCATTAAGCATCTTTGAATATGTCTTTAAAATTGAGTTTCAGCAGACCACTGAGGTTCAACCAAATTAATGCCAAGCTTTGTTACTTAACATATTCAGTGCCTGGTGCATTGTTTCCAAGCCAGAGAGAAAGAAAAAATAACAAGTTTAATTTTCAGAAGAATAATTTGTAAAATTATGTTTCACAATCTAAATAAAGAATAGTGAAGGGATTATGTTCTTCAGCTCTTCATGCAAATATAATTTCTTTGGAGTTTTTAAGGTACACACAATTTTTCGTTCTATACTGACTGAGCATGATGAACCCATGGTATAAGAGAGTGATTTTTCTGACAATGACAGCTGGATAGAGTTTAACTCTCAAAGTATATAAGGGAAGCTCTGCCAATTCCCAATGTTTGTAAATCGAATTCAAGATTTATTTCCAGTAAAAGCACCCCATGCTCCTATATGTGGCAAAGATGAACCACAGTATTAAATTTTCATGTTGTAGTTTTCAGATTGTTATCAGGGACCCCTGGGATTCACTTAGACTGTTAGAAAGTCCAGGAGATAAAAATTATTTTCATAATCATACTAAGATGTTACTACACAGGACACTCCCATTCTAAATTTCTACCTTTCACTCTTATTCTCTCATGAGTATATGATGGAATTTTCTAGAGGCTGTGTGATAATAGGATGTTGCAACAGATTAAATGCAGAAGCATCTTGAAGAACCCAGCTGTATTTTATTAAGCTATATATGAAAGAGATTTGTAAAACTATAACAACAGTGCTATTCTTCTCACTAGTTTTTTTTTTTTTTGGAAAATATAGTTGTTTTTAAATGGATTAATAATAACATTTTTCAAATTCTCAGTTTTTATTTCTGATTTGGTTGATGATCGAATGAGGAAACCCAAATAAATTTCGAGGGGTTTTGAAACTAAAAAGTTTAAGAACTGCTACCTTATATGATTTTTGGTCTAGTGTAGAAAAAACAACTTTCGTTCTAGGAAATATGGAATAAACGATTAATCATTTGGGATTCAATCTCTGTTGTTTAATATAGCTATAGGTTGTTTATTTTCATTGCTGTGTGTTTTATTGTAGGAATATACCACAATTTATACTTTTTATACCCCAATTTTCTGAGATTCGCTAGAAGAATTCCCAGGACCTGGCACATAGTCATGTTCACAACTAAGATTTATTACAGAGGCATAATAAGGATACACAGCTGGATCATAAAGGAGAGAGATGCATTTGGAATGTGCAGGCCTCCTATGATTGGTCACACTGTGCTCACTCTTGCCCCAGCAGTGAAAATGCAGCAACATGTGTGCAATGTTTCTGCCCAGGGAAGTGTGTTAGAGACACAATGCCCAAGGTTGTTACTGTGGTCTGGGCACATAGACGCTCTTTGCCTAGCACTTAGCGAATTCTAGACTCCCAGAAGGAGACCAGTGTTCAGTATAAACCATCTTGTTTGCAGAGACAGTCCAGGCATAGTGAACCACACTCAGCGGTTAGGGAAAGTTTTTTGTTGTTGTTTTGAAAAAATAAAAGTGTTTATCAGTCAAATATTACACTGTTATGGAAAAAAATCTTACTGGATTAAAACTAATAAAATTGGCCTTAAATGTCAAAATGAGTTTGAACATAATTGGAAGCAAACCAGACATCAGAATATTATGCCAGTTCCAGCAACATACTGCTTTAAGTAATCTATGCTTAAATATTATTTCAGTAGTAAAAGAAAAATAAATAAAAGGCCTTATTTGCCAAGGGAAAAAAAAAAGCATCATTTTATAGCCATGAAAGTAGATGTAGATATAGTCAACCGGCTCTTTTTTTTTTAATATGATTTTTATTTTTATTATTATTATTATTTTTTTTTTTTTTATCCTCACCTGAGGATATTTTTCCATTTTTTGTACAGATAGAGTGGGAGGGAGAGAGAGGAAGGGAGAGAGAGAGAGAGAGAAACATTGATGTGAAGGGACACATCGAGTGGCTGCCACCCGCACGACCAACCAGGGCCGGGGACAAACTGCAACCGAAGTACGTGCCCTTAGCGGGAACCGAACCCGGGTCTCTCCGGACCGCAGGCCGACGCTCTAACCGCTGAGCCAAACTGGCCAGGGCTATTTTTTTTTAGAGAGAGAGAGAGATAGAAACATCTATTGACTGCCTCCTGCATGCCCCCTACGGGGATTGAGACCGAAACTCAGGCATGTGCCCTGACTGGGAAACCAGGACTTCTCAGTCCATGAGATGATGCTCAGTTCACTGAGCCATACCGGCCAGGCTCAGTTGTCTCTTTTAAATGGCCATGCTTGGGTTAACTGTTTTTTATTTTTTTTAAATAGTTGATATCATTAGGAGGTGGTAAAATACACATAAAATTTACTATCTCAACCATTTTAACATGTATAATTCAGTGATGTTAAGTATATTCATTATTGTATAACTATCACCACTGTCTATCTCTTTTTTCTTACAAAACTAAAACCCTATGCCATTAAACAATTCCCCACTCCCTCTAACCTCCCCAGGCTCCTGTAAACCACCATTCTATTTGATTAATCTGAGTACCTCAGATAAGTGGAATCATATAGTATTTGTCCTTTCATGGCTGGCTTATTTCACTTTGCATAATGTCCTCAAGATTCATCTATGTATATGTTGTAGCATGTGTCATAATTTTCTACCTTTTTATGGCTGAATAATACTCCATTTTGTATATATACCACATCTTGACTATTCATTCATCCATTACCAGACACTTGAGGTACTTCCACCTTTTTAGTTAGGGGAACTTTTATATCAGTGTAGGACTGTTTATCAGCCAGCATTGTAGATAGCAGCCAATGGCTCAACCTTACAGACTTTTTTAAGGTTACTTGTTTCAGATCTGCTATTATTAGCTATTTTCTATACATGGGCTATTATACATGATATTGCTGTGAGCATTGCACCAGACAATGGAACCTGGATTCCATAGGATGCATACATACAAATTTAGTATATAAGGCCAGATGGTTTTCTCAAATGTTATACCAATTTATATTCTCATTAACATCAGTATCTTAGTCTGTTATAATAGATTTCTTTCTTTTTTTTTTTTTATCCTCACCCAAGGACATTTTTCCATTTTTTGTTTAGATAGAGTGGGAGGGAGGAAGGGAGGGAGGGAGGGAGGGAGGGAGGGAGAGAGAGAGAGAGAGAGAGAGAGAGAGAGAGAGAGAGAAAGAGAGAAAGAGAAACATCAACATGAAAGGGACACATCGAGTGGCTGCCACCCGTATAACCAAAACAGGGCCGGGACAAACTGCAACCGGGGTACATGCCCTTTAGCGGGAACCGAACCCCGGTCTCTGTGGACCATAGGCCGACGCTCTAACCGCTGAGCCAAACCAGCCAGGGCCTAATAGATTTCTGTAGGCTGAGTGAATTAGAAACACTTAACTCTCACAATTCTGGAGGCTGGTAAGTCCAAGATCTAGGTTCTGGCAGATTTGGTGTCTGATGAAAACCCATTTCCAGGTTCATAGATGGCTAACTTCTCACTGTATCCTTTTGCGGAAGGGGCAAGAGAGTTCTAAGGGATTCTCTTTTATAAGGGCACTGATGACCTAATCTCCTCCCAAAGACCCCACCTCCAAATACAGACACATTGGGGATTAGGTTTTAACGTACGAATTTTGAGTGGTCACAAACATTCAGTCTATAGCAATTGATATTAAAACTATATATTTGGAGATGTAGGAAAAAGGTTTGTAATACCCATTTATTATTTTTTTAAAAACACTTAGCAAATCAGTTATAGCA